TTGGTAAAGGTCTAGGATTCTCCCTAATCAGTTGCCCTGGTACAGTTTCCAAATGATATTTTATTGTGGGTTTCAGAGTAGCAGCCGTGTTAGTCTGTATCCGCAAAAAGAAGAACAGGAGGACTTGTGGCACCTTAGAGACTAACAAATTTATTAGAGCATAAGCTTTCGTGGACTACAGCCCACTTCTTCGGATGCATATAGAATGGAACATATATTGAGGAGATATATATACACACATACAGAGAGCATAAACAGGTGGGAGTTGTCTTACCACCTCTGAGAGGCCAATTAATTAAGAGAAAAAAAAAAAACTTTTGAAGTGATAATCAAGCTAGCCTAGTACAGACTGGGACTGGGAATGGCTGAGCCATTACAGACATTGAATCTGTCTCCCCTTGTTAGTATTCTCACACTTGTTATCTAACTGTCTGTCTAGTACTAGGCTAGCTTGATATCACTTCTAAAAGTTTTTTTTTTTTCTCTTAATTAATTGGCCTCTCAGAGGTGGTAAGACAACTCCCACCTGTTTATGCTCTCTGTATGTGTGTATATATATCTCCTCAATATATGTTCCATTCTATATGCATCCGAAGAAGTGGGCTGTAGTCCACGAAAGCTTATGCTCTAATAAATTTGTTAGTCTCTAAGGTGCCACAAGTCCTCCTGTTCTTCTTTTTAAGGCATGAATTATATTTCTAAGGGAATCAAAATACTGATCCAACATATTTCAAGACAGTTGTTTTCTTCTAAGATGTACATGTCTTTAAGCAACTTGATATTTTTCAAATGGGTTGCAAATGTTTTTACTCAAAGAACAGATCCATACAGATTCTGTGTCAGTAAAGAAAAGTTATTTTTTCCTCTGCAACATACTAGTTCAGTCAACAACTTATCACTAAACAACTTCCTTACTGAATAGGAGAAACTCAACCTTTCCCATTTATTTCAGGGACAACTGAAATTCTATCGCATGCACTGTACAACGTATTTAGTTTTGTTAAATGGTAAAGATTCTGAGTTCAGTACCACAATGATTAAATTATGGATGGTAGTGATAATGTCATGAAAATGCAAAAAAGGACCATATATTTTGAAAAATTTACAAACATTTTCATACCTGTAATTTTAAGTAAAGCTTCATGTCACCCCACTGTGAATTATGAGGGTTTTTCTTCAAAATAAATTTGAGCACCGGTTCTCTCTTATCTAAGTCACAGTCTTTAAGAAGGTACTCTTGCTTTGCCTCAGTCCTTGTTATAAGCTTATGCTTACCTTCAACATCTCTGAAACAGATTTTTTTTTAAAAGAGACGGGTGAAAAGCATTATGTAACAGGCTAATATTAAAGTTCATTATGTACTGTACAATGCACCTTACATCCCTACTGTAATGTGGGCCTTGATCTTGCAAACTTAGTCATGCGAGTAGTCCTCCTGAACTCCAATATCAACGCACTAATTTAGAAACCCCTCTATTTTGTTTGTTTTGGGGGGTTTTTGGGGAGTGGGGGGGAAAAGGAGAATGGGCTCCTACCGGAATCACCTCAAAGGTTCTACCTGAGTTTGTCTCCTACCACAGGTTTTTCCTAGAAGAGGGGATAATTGGATACTATATTTTCAAATCTTCATTGTTTCAAATACAAATTATACAACCAAAGCAGTTTTCAAATGCAAGACATTTGGCATGCACAAGGAATAATAAAATAAAGCAAAAGGTTTAATAAAAAAGTGTTTATTTTTTATTGGATAAGTAATGAGACAATTGAACATTCTGGTTACACAAGGTACTAGTGAGCATCTGAAAAATTTATTTCACCTGTCTTGATCCAAAGTATCACCGGAATCTTTTTATCATATGCCCAAATGATTACATAAATTAAATCCTTATCAGGGAGATAATTTTAATATATTCCCCAATTTGCTACAAATATATAGATATATTGAAATTTTAAAAATTGCCATATGTCAGTGGGAAAAAAAACTGGATTCAGTCAGATTCAATGAGGTGATGTCTACAAGATCCAATAAATAAACACATCAAAAACTATTTATTCAATATTCAGTTTTCAACATTTAAAAGACATACTTAGGGCTAACTCAGTTGACCATCCCCATCACAGATCTACTCCAACTTACAGAAGCTATAAAAAGTCTTGTTTAATTTGACTATTTAAATAGCTGAACACTTTTTCTACCACAGTGGTTTTTTAAAAATAGATCTTTGCATGGCTGATCTGTTATTTACTAATTTCACTGCTTTGAACATATGTAATAATCTTGATGGGATAATAATCTCCATTACCATATTTAAACAATGCAATATGAATGCTGTAAAGTAAAGAGACTATACATTTCTAACATACTATGTATTTTTTTCACATCATGCACTAAGAGGCATGTGTGAAAGATGTGGTTCTTTTGCACTTCCACTGTGAAAAACACAAACTTATTCAATTCCAGGTTTCGGAGTAGCAGCCGTGTTAGTCTGTATCCGCAAAAAGAAGAACAGGAGTACTTGTGGCACCTTAGAGACTAACAAATTTATTAGAGCATAAGCTTTCGTGGACTACAGCCC